GACACCACGAAGGGCACAACGCTAAAGAGCAACCTCTGAAAAGCCCATCTGCACTGACCTGGTGAGGTGGATTGGATTTTCCATACATGGGTAATTAACCAGTATTTCATTCAGCATAATTTTAATTACCTCACTGATACACAATAATCTATTTTTCTGCCAGATCATGCTGAAAACAACTTCAATACTTAACAATTGTAAAAATGTACTTTTTATCCAAAGAGGTGGGAAGCACACAGCAGCAGTGCTTTCTCTCGTTACATTATTCTTGTAGTCTTTTCCAAAAACGTCTGGGTGTCTCTTAGGTATTACTTTTTAATCATCCACTCTCATTACATGTAGTGTTTGCTCCTTTTTCATTTTATATCACAAAGCCAGAAAGAAGGCAATTAAAATTCAATAATGGTGCAGTGCTTAGACACTCATTAAGCAGTCATTAGGTAGTCTGGAGACTCATTGTCTTCATGAGAGCTTGTTTTCTTGCTCTCTGTGAATCTCCTCACCGCAATATTAGCTCAAAACAGCAAGCGGGATGTGAATGTGAATCCAGAAGGGTTCATGAGCCTCCCAGCCCAGGCACAAGCACTCTGCTGCCTCCTGGACACCCACCACCTCAGATACAGCAAACCCCTGGGGTTCCTCTAGCAGCACTGAGAAGATGCCCAGCACGGGTGCTGCCCTGGATGCCTTTGGTCCTGCTTCGCTCCCTGGATAGGACCGATGCACCCTGGCAGTGATTCCTGTCCTCCTCAGGTGGTTCAAGGACCACTTCAATGCTCTGGCTTATGCTGGCTTGACTAACAACCCCTCCCAGAAACACAGCCCCCCAATTGCCAAGACAGCTTGTAGAGGGACACGCTTCTCAGCATGAGTAATTGGCAAAATCAGGCCTCTAGGGAGGCAGGATCATTCTCTGTCAGCATCAGGAACCAAGCTCCTGCCAAAAGAGCATTCAAAACAAGAAAACTTCATTTTGAGGTGGGAAAAAAAAAACCCACTGGCAGAGATAGGATGGCAAGAGTGTGCCACTGATTGTCAGATGCATAAAGGCATCAATAAAATAATGTTCACACTCAAAAAACTGTCTTACAAAACACGAGAAGCAGCCTCTCTTGACTATAAGTACTGCCTCTGGACACTAAATAACAGCATCTGTTCTCCAGACTCTGAGCATCTTGAGTCTGCTTTGTTTTCTGTCCTTGAGGAGGCAGGGAGGAACGAGGACAAGACAAGACAACTGGGACAGTTTAGGCTAGGAAGGCTCCACAGCAGCTTTAAGATGCAGTTTTCTGGAGCTCTCTGAGAGCAGAGGGAGCAAACCCCAATGCATTATTTAAGACATCCCTCACACTGCTCATCCTTTATAGATACAGATCAATATAGTGGCCTCTGCCAGAAAAGGGAGGCTTCGATATGAAAAAGACTAAAATAGAATTCATATTAGAGGTGCTGAGGGGAAATAATACAGCCCAAGGGAACATCTGCATGCCGTGGTACAGTGAGGCAGTCCCTGAGGGGTCAGCAGATAGCAATGGATGGAACAGAGCAATTCAGAGATTCCCAGCTTGCTTGTAGCACTCAGTCACCTCTGGGGGATAAAGCTCTGCCATAGAATCACTTCATCAGCAGTCCATCGCCTCCACACTAGCTTGCACAGCTGCAGAGTCACATTTCATGAAATAATGGGTTTCTGTATTAAAACTCTCACTAAAACACTGTGTAGTTCTTTATGCCTTGCCTTCCCCTAATACATACAAGTCACCTGGCACAGTGTCAGGTGAGGAGCAAGAGGAGCACTCCACTTTGTAGGCCGCTCGTTGTGTTTTGCTACACATGCTCAGGTGTGTACACAAGAACTCAAATGTTCTTTTTCCCTTTATAGTTCAAGCATCTTTTTACCAGATTCAAGGCCCCAAAGCATTAAATAATTACTCACCTCACTTCCTTTGTTTGCAATATCTCTGCATCAAGTAATACAGCTTCTAGCACTTTTAGGAGAGTCAATAAAAAAGCAGCAAGGTTTCCTGATGCTTGTGAAGCTTTTTGGTACAAATGTGCAAGTCAAATGTGACCTTTTATGAAGCCCTATCCACAGCACTCTAATCTCTTTACATTTATTTCCTCACATTTACTTCCAGCAGCTCTGTTGCTTTTTTATTGCTGAAGATCCATGATACTAACAATCTTCCTCCTTCCTTTTAGATTTCTAGTAATGACCACCAGCAATGGGATTTTGCTGGAAATGAACTTGCTTGTATTTCATATGTGTTTTCACTTATGTGTTTTCACATATGAAATGCATTTCATATATGAAAGACAGGGACTCAGTCTTTTCTTCACCTTAAGCCTTTTTTCCCTAGCAAGCAGAATAGACCTGACAAATAAAATTTATGTTGTACAAGATCAGAACTTTTAGGAAAAGATTTTAATTTTTTTATGGCAATTCATTCCATTTGTCTAATAGATAATGTAATGAACTTGATCTGTTCCTCTCCTTCCATCAATGCTTTATTAGGTTAGAAAAGGACTCTGCACTTCTCTTTGTAGATTGACGTGTTTCTGGAAGAGTAAGATCTATTAAAAGCCTGACTGGGTTCAACCATTGCTTAATGGACTTTATGATACAATGACTCTTTTGTCATCTCCTGCTTTCTTGAGACTTTTTGTATTTTTAAGGACCTACTGATCTCTAAGGATTCAGTACTGTACTTTTTTTGTTAATTCAAAATTCACAACTTTCTTTTTGTACTAAACTTGATTACAGAAAAATAATTAATCTGCTAACCATATATACAGATTGTCAGTATGGTATCTCCATAAACACTGTTACCTTTCACTGTTACCTTCTACCTCAGCAGAGACAGCCTATCTGGCACTACGGCACCAGCTTCTCCACCCCAGGGTGTGTAAGCTGTTCTCTGTCATGATTTTTGATTCATATGTCTATATACGGTTTTATAAAATCTTCATTAATCCATTTAGTTTGAAAGAGGCAGGATTGGTGGGAGGCTTTTATAATTTTTAGCTGGTGGCAATCTCAAGGGAAAATTTGATTGGAGACTTGTGTTTGTGCACACATGTATAATGCAACAAAGGTTTATGACAACAGTATCATACAAAACAAGAATAACATAGGCTATATGTTACCAAGGTAATAATACATGATGAGAATATTTAGTTGTTTTATGTTGGAAAACAGAAAAATGTGGCAATTGTCTGGGAAAAGACCATGTAACTTTTTTCTATATACCCACATGCCCATCTCTGCAAGCCTAGAGACAGCACACAAAATCCCCACTGAAGGCTACTTGCTATGCAGCTGCAGAAGTGCAGGAGAGTACTCAGAGACTTTTAAACACCTGTAAAAACAAACCCAAAGCCAGCTTTTTGGAACCTATGAAACAGGTTTTAATGAACCGCAGAATGGAGTTGAACTGCTGATGCATGTCCTCCCCTGGGCTACAGAAGGTAGAATGACAGAAGACAAATTCATTGGGTTTTATCAAGTCCTGGTAGAGATAGATCTCATTGTCTCTAAAATAAGAGCCTGTCCTGTTCTGGATGATGCAGTTTCAAACCAAACAATTTGCTGAGAATTTTGGAAGGGATGACATCTGAAAAAGGTAGGGTTTTATTGGCAAATGAGAGTAGAGCGAAAGGCATATAATCCAACCTAACGCTTTTCTGAAGTGACCCTCAACAGAAACAGTGATGTAAGAACTTCTGTCAAATCCATGGGATTTATCTCTGTGCTTTTACTACAGTTCAAAGAGAAAAAGTTTCTTGCTCAGTTTAATATGTATGCCACATTGCCTAATTGTGGTATGACTGATGGAAAAAACAAAACCAAAGCATAGTTTAAAGCATAAAACCAGCAATGCAGTAACCTCCAGATCCTCATATGACTTAAAGTTTATATCCTGTAGAGAGAAGAAAGCTACTGAAGAAACTGTAAAAGGCACTGTGATTTCTTTTTCATGTGCAGCAAGCAAAAGTACTACTTGTCAGAGAGCAACCAAATGAGAGCAAACCAGAGAGCTCAAAATGCAAAATAAAGAAAGAAGAAGTAGAAGAAAAACACCAGGTATATAATCAGAGCATGATATATAGTTGAAATCAGCAAAAGTGTGATACATAAGAAGGGAACATAAACACTAAGAAAAAACATTAACGGTAACAATGTGCAAGTCAAAAAAAACCCCAGTTTATTGTTCTATCTGTGTACAAGAATTTGATCCAAAACTCTCAGAAGTCGCAGTAAGGATTCTTAGCTAACATAGTCAGCTATAGCTCAGCCCTCACGTCTCCATCTCTATACATGCAGACATGTATATTGTATGGACAGAGATCTTTCTACCTCCATGGACATACGTACTTCTCTCTGTGCATGTAAGCATGCATATATGTATATAAATATACACATCAGCATGTATTTTCACAGTTCCTTTGAAAGTAACACAGATTAAATGCAGTCCTTTTGAACATTGAGTAATAACAAGACAACTAGTGGCTAAGAAGCTGTACATATACATGTATGTGCAAGGGTAAACCTGCCAAAGTCCAAAAAAACAAGGGCCTAAATGTCACAAAGACCTGTCAGCATAGGAATCAACAGCAGCTGGAGTCTAATCCTGCACCGTTTCCATCAGAGGCAGCTTTGCCAGGGATGCTCTGGTTGCAGGACCGACACCTGGCCAAGGCCCAGGACAACGCCTTTCTTTATGCCCTCAGTGTTGAAAAAGGGATGCTGGTAATGGTGAATCTTCTCCTTCAATGTCACAAACATTTGTTGTTCTTCCTGCCCCTGTAATCTGCACCACACTTACCCACGTCTCACTGTGGTCTGGAATCTTAAATGGACTTTACCCACATACTCATATACTCTGTTACCTTCAGTAGTTTCCTCCAAATACCTCCCATACTTGCTCGCTGGCCTGATGAAGGCAGCTCAGCACCTTCACTCCTCCTTGCCATTTCCAGTCCTGTTACTGATATATATTTTACAGCTGAAGATGTGCTTCTGACGCCTGTAGCTGCTCCTCGAAGTACAGAAGCTGATCCACTTCAAAGCAATCGCTTGCTCTAGGAACCAATTTCTCCAGACGTCTCCTGATCTCCTCCTCACTGGCATTCTGCTGCCTCGCCTGCTTGAGATAGCTGTACACGGCCTCAAATACCTCCACTCCCAGCTTCCCAATGGCAGATCTGGGGATATATATTACATAAAGGTCAAGTAAGTTATTTCACTTTATATATTAATACAAGCAATAACCAGTACTGATTTTTTTTCTAAATGTTGTAGCTACCTTTGATTAAAATGATATAATGAGGCACCTGACATCTGACAGTACAAGGAACTAAAGTTTCCTGGGGAATTTCTCTATGAGTGTTTGTTATACAAAGAGCTCAGAAGCAAAAACCTGGCCGTAGTAAAGTCATGGGAAGCACGGCCATCATTGGTGTTACAAACCAAGACTCCTTTTCATGCCACATCTACATACATATATACCATACATACCATTTTATCTACAGCAAGCCCAGTACACCCACATGTATTGTTGCCTCTGGATATCATTACAACCAAAAGGAGCAAGCCCAGTCAACCATGCACAAGTGGCATTTTACACGAACAAACACTTTTCAGGATTCGTTGCTTTATTTTAGCTTCTATCAAATAACAAGGAAGCCATTGTGCAAGCTCAGCATGAGCTAACTGACATTTTTTTCTTTTCCTAGAGTACTCTCTTTTTATCAGACAGCAGATCTTTAATTCAGTGACAAAGAATACTCTCACAGGTTCTTAATGTTCGTTTATAAAGACGATCCATTTGCTAACTGCAAGGCAAGGAACAGAACTTTTTCTAAAGGCAAACATCTTTAAATTCGCATGTCACAAACCACAGGTAACATAAAATTTTCTGCTCAGTGATGGGTTCATAATATTTTGATGAAAATATTGGTGTAATCTTCCTTCAGCCTATCAGGAAATATCTGCCAGCTCTGCACACATCTGCCACAGAAACTGTTTTGTTTTCTTTCTTTTATATGTAAGAGCAGCTGATATTTGATTGTCTTTGACTTCAGACTTGCACATTGCAGTACTGATGCCTTTCACTTAGTCAGAAACGGAGCTGGACTAATTGGGATCACTTTGTGAAAACATCTGCGATTTGCATTAAAAATGTCTTATTTAGGTTAGGTAAACTTGTGGTAAGCAACCTTTCCTCCCACTAGAATTTTTCTAGGATTTCAAGAACATTTGGGTTTTTGGTTGGTTGGGGTTTTTTTTGGGGGGGGGAGGGGTGGTGGTGTTGGCGTTTGGTTTTTCTTTCAGAAGATCCATCGTGGCATGAAGACCTCTTCAATAAACCTCCTCAGCATATCTGAACAAGCTTTCTCTGACAAATCAGTCCTATGTACTAAAAGGAACTAATGGTATCTGAGCTTCTAATGCTCTCACTTATTTCTCAAACATCACTGATATTGTGTCTCTAGCATGGTAAAACCTTTGATGCTTTAACTCTTTGCTTGCTCGTAATTCTTTTAGACCAAAAGGAGGCACTAGGAAGTGAATCATATAGTACTCAAAACTTTCAGCCTGAATGTCTGTGCTCATGTTCCCTTTCCATCGGGTCTCTGTCACACACTGCTTTCTACAAATTTACACCACAGTAAACTGAGAGGATGACCCCAAGTTGTCCCAGGATGGGAACTGCCTCATTTATCACTCCAGCAGTGAGCTACCTACTACTTATAAAGAATTAGCGTGCCTTTACAGTATGTACTGTCTATACTGTCTCTTATGGGGGCTTTGAGCTGCTCCCCACTTCTGCACACAGTGTGCTTGCCAGCATGGCCTCAGGCATGACCAGGACACACATTCCTGTCCGCAGGGCCGTGCCCACTGCCCACGGGGAGCTGCTCGTGGCCACGGGCTCATGCTGCCCCCAGGCAGGCTCCGGCCAGCGCCCAGGACAGAGGACAGCAGGGAGTTGGGACACGCTCAGCTTCTGGCCATGCCAAGGATGACCCTTTCTGAGCTGTACAGGAGAAGAGAAAGGGATAGGAGTTGTCTGCTGGTGCCAGCATTAAGGCTTTGCTCTTTAATACTTTGCACATGGCTTCGAGGGAGCATGCACAAGACTTCCCAAAAGCAGCTTAAATGGTTAAACCTGCACACTGCCCCACAACAACACACATACTCCAGTTGTACTTTTTTTGCTGATTTTGCAAAAAAATATTTTTGCATGTCTAACACCAGGGCAAGGCCAACAGTTCTAACCTGATAGAATAATTCACCTAAAGGGGTAGCTGCTTTTTGTCTGTGGTCATCCTGTTATAGCTGAGGAATAACACCGTTATAGTGAGATTTCAGCCAGTAAAATTTCCACATTATGAAAATCCCTCCATCCTTAGAAAACCGTTGCAAAGAATTTTAGTTTACTGCTTCTTAAACTTCATTCGGTATGAAAGCATACAGTTTCCTCAGTAATGCAGAACCACTTTATTCGCATATAAGAGACTCCTGAAAAACCCTGTTGTTATATATAGTAGGACCTACTGCTGCTAAAAAAGGATACACCTAACATGGTATTTTTTCCCTGAAGGATATCCTAGGTGACTGCTTTGATCTCACAAGGAGGAAACACTTCTCCTCACATCCCGCCTGCTCTCTGCTTTTCTGCAACTCGGTCATGCCCAGCTGTGATCCCGCCTTCAGCTACACGTTACCCCTCCTGCTGGCTCCTGACACAGAGGCGGATCGGGAACCTGAGGCAGAGAAAGCCAAGACCCAGGATCAGAAGCCACAGGGCCAAGCTGTAATCTCTGCAGATCCAGACCTGACCCAGTCCTGCTTCCCATAACTAGAAACTGCCTTGTTTTTTTTTTTTCTACCAACGGTGATCTTTAGGGAAAACTAAAACTCTTGAAAGGGATTAATTGTCACACACTGGAAGCCTAGGGATTAGATTAGCACAGAAAGATAAATAGGGATTTGTTTGGCAAATAATGTACATTTCTTCACAAAACTTCATCAGAAATATCACAGTATTTCTCTCCAACAGTTAAAAATCAATACATGAAAAGCTATTTTTAAATCACTGCTACTTCATTGATGACTTTACTGACTCCTCTCTCCCTCTTAGGCAAGTAGGTTAATTTTTTGGCAGTCCTGTCTATTTAAAGATGAAAAATTAACCAAACACATATCTCAGGAGTATTGCTTCTGCCAATAAATGTGACCTGAAGACTTGAATCTTTTCATTTTAGCTTGGCAGAGCATGCAAATCAGCTAATCTGTATAACAGCTGATACAATAGAATTAGGGGAAAAGTGTTTCTAGGTTGAAAGTGTTTCCTAGGTTGAAAATTAAGGGGTAAGTAACAAAAATTATAACCTGCTTTAACAAAAGAAGACATCAGGCTCTGTTTGGACTTGAGAGGTGCATTAATGTGAGTCTGCTACCACATCATGTATTTTCTGTGACAGAGGCAGAAAGGTGGGATCTAAGACAGTAAATGTCAAACAGACGTTACCGAGTGAAACTATCATCCTGATGGAGGGAAGGGGGAAGTGGCTTCCTGGAAAGCAAGGTTTGCCCATTATGGCCCTGATCCTGTGCTAGGGGATATTTTTCCATCCTTGTGAAGTCCTACAGAGGCACAATTACAGATTTTGCACTGCCCTTCTGTTTATAGTTATTTCTATTTCACATGAAATCTGGGACACCTGCCTTTGCAGTTTGAAATGGTTAAAAGTCCTAACACCAAATGCACTGGCAGAACAAGTGCCGAGATCCCGTTTGGCCACGTTTTCCAATTTACTGGCTTTTATTCTCTTTGTGCTATCCTATAGCTCACTTACCTGCAAACTCAGTATTACCCCCCAGAAATGAGCCATGATCCCTTTCTCAGCCAAGACTACACAAGCAAAGGGGATACCTGACATCGGGGATTTCATTACTCTGACAAGCTTTGTGGGCCATAACCCCATCCCACACGGCTCTGTATTGTTTTTCACTATGCTGAAATCAAAGGCGTTACATCAGTCTCTACCATCCAAGGGTCTGACCCAGTCCGACACACTAACATGCTTAAATGCGATATCTCAGATGGTTCTTTATTTTGTTTTACTGTTGTTACATATAGGGAGGGATTCGTTGCTAGCATTTGAGCACTCCATTTCCTAACTTTTCAGCAACCTGTCTGTGCAATGAAATTTGCAGCTCTGTGGTTGAACCTTATTCTCCCTGGCTATCTGGTGATTTGCAGTTGATTTCCTACACATCAGTGCAAAATTACTAAAATTTGACAATATAATAATGTTGTGTTCTCAACTGGCTGAGAAAGTTGTAATCTTTACCTAGGCAAACAAAGAATTTTCTATTATCCTGTGGGTCTTTATTTTGACTATTCTGCTACTAGCTACGTATTAACATTTCCTTTCTGGTCTGGAGATCAATTACAATACACCTACCTTTATGCAGCACTGACAAAAGCCACAAAACAAGATTAATGCTTAAGTTTGCGCTCCTCCGTGGGTGTTAGCAGCTGGGTTAATACCTCTCAACAGCTTGTCATTGCCTGTCTTGAAGGATAACTATGACACAAATCAGCAGCTAAGGAGATTTTCAGCTTCTCACTTTCAAATGTCATTCAGCATGACAGCGACTATCATTTAAAACCATTCTGCTCTCCCTCATCCACCCCCAAAGGGAAGTGGCACTTTTTGCTTGCCAACATGGAGTTTTTACTAGTGCTTCCAGGGAGCTGTGGGGTGGTCCGTGCTCGGGAGCAAGGAGAGGATCTGCAGCTGCCAAGTCACCATGCTCTGCAGAAGTCACCACCGAGCACGCCAGAATGATACCACGAAAGTCCCTCTGGATCAGGCATCTCACCGCTGCCACTGCAGATGACCAACACATGGCTCCTAAGCCCATCACGGAAAACTCAGTTATTTCAACATACTAATGTTATTCAATGTAAACCTTAAAAAAGAAGCTTTCTGCACATGGAATATCCATTCCAGTGGGCATTTATTTCATAGAATGGTTTAGGTTGGAAGGGACCTTGCAGATCATCTAGTTCCAACCCCCCTGCCATGGGCAGGGACACCTCCCACTAGACCAGGTTGGTCAAAGCCCCATCCAGCCTGGCCTTAAACACTTCCAGGGATGGGGCATCCACAACTTCTCTGGGCAACCT